GCAGAAGGACCGCCGGAGAAAGTCTTCCCGGCACGGTCGTAAAAGGATTTCAGGTTGTCAATCCCTTCGTACATCTCAGTAGAGATACGTACGCGCCACCACGGGCTATTAGGGAGGTAAGCCTCCTTAGGTGCTCGTGCAGAGTTGTTCACACAACATGGGCACGAGTCTCCCCAAGAGAGGCAATGTAATCCTTTCTCCCTTGACAGACGATGCAGCTTGTAGCGTGCACCTGTCGGGGTTCGCTTTTCAAACTTATCACGAGCTTTGATAAGTTTGTCGTTCCAAGCGTCACGACCTACATCCTCAAGGTTATGGATGTAGGCGTTCCACGCTTGAAGTAGTGAGGGACCATCACGTTTGTGATTCCCACTGTACCATCGATGTTTAAAGAAAGCATCGATGAAGGAATCATTCTCAGCGCGATAGTTCGTCGCGCTGGGGTCAAGGTGATGGATCCTTGACGAATCGAACAACCGTGTTCGATAACGATCACTCGTCGTCGCCGACAAGTGATCCATGACGGATTTTGGAGGCATCCATGCATTCTTCTCGGGAGCGATACGCAACACATTGCGATCCCGCTCTTCTTGCGACGTGCCACCCGAATTACTGGCACCTCGCTGCGAAGTGGTGTCAATAGGAGAACCGACACCACTGTTAGCGCCCGAGTCTCGCGACCTCGAGCGCCTTCGCTTCGGTGATGGTTCATCTGATTCATCAGATGAACCAAAGATGCTGCGACGCATAGCATCATCCATGCCACGCTTGGCAGGCGGCTTGGATTCGATCGCCGTCGATACGGATCCGTCTTCCGTATCAGGAGAGTATGAGACACCGAGCTTATACTCTGTGAAGACATGAGTGTCTTCATGACCAGCGCCTGCATCACCAGGTGACACAGGCTGAGTCGCTTTAGCGACCGATGACACATCTGTTGCAGCGGTTTCTGCTTCGGCGTCCGCACAGAGACGTGCGGACGCGCTCTCAGCGGCCTTGCTCGCGCATCGCATGGGCTTGTTAACCATGCGATGAAATGTTGGAAAGTGGACTCGGACCAACAAGTGCAAACCCTGTCCCAAATGATTTGGGACGAGTATCCATTTAGTCAATCAGTCACTAAAGTGACTGATAGTTAAGGGGGGGGTGATGTAACGGGGTGAATCGTTACATAACAATTTATAAGAAATTGTTAATAGAATATAACTATAAGAGTTATATTCTCAGAATATTGTCATAAGGACAAATATTCTGTAGCACTTACGAGTAGTTCCTAATTGGTTGATATAGGCCATTATATCAACCAACGAAGACGCGCCACGACAGACGTACGCAATGAGTGGTGAGCAGATAACTGATTTACACATTTGTATTCAGACATGGTTAGATGAAGATAAATAGTGATTTATTGCAGACATTAACTATTATAAATACAGTTCTACTTTTTACTTTAACCAAGTACTCGCTTCTTCTTACCGTCTTCCTCTGCACGTACGAGTGTACGTGAAGTTATGAGGCACCGCCTTATTCTGTCATCAGAATAAGTAACTTGTACTGTCATCAGTACAAGCTTCAGGGTGCCCCGTTACATTACCTGTTAGAGCTCCACTCGATCCATCGCGTGAACTGCCACCTGAATACCTTTATATTCGACCTAGGCAGTCAAGGCAAGGGCCCATTTGTGATCAGGCGTTAGCATCACAGTAGAAGTTCTATCAGTCGACCATTCGCTCACGGTGAACCCGTAAGATTACACAATCCACATCGATCTCATCAGGCCACGAGCAATAGACGAGAGACGAGCTGAAACCTCACACCTGCTTCGAAGATAAACTATTATGTGATGCTGTTGATGGAATGCAGAATCACTACCTGCGTCAAATTAAGATTACTATCGCTATGAAACGTGCCTGATCTTTGCTGAACCTTGAGTGACCCGCACGTCGTCCATGTTGAGACCTCTGGTTTCGACATGCTCGCACATGTTCTCAGTATCTGGACCTGTTACGCACATGCAAAAGCCCTGCTAATCGGTTTGCTAAAATCTGGTACTATTCGAATATAGATTGAGGTCAGAATTATTCATCCTCTGGTAACTTTTCTGACACCGAAGGTTCGACGACAAGCATAGGAACCCTGTAAGATATGGTCGCAGGATCCCCTATAGTAGCTCGCATAATGGCCTACTTATTATTCACTGTGGAGTCTTCAAGGTTTCTATACGAACTAACGTGACGCTTGACAGTTGAAACGACCAATGAGTTTACCTGGGCTAGCCGACGACTTCCTAGAATGTTTATTGCCACTGTTGGAATCTCTCACAACCGTAAATACATTCTTTACACATCTACTACTTGCTGATATATAATATTGACGCTCTCCTTAGCATTAGGTCGACAAGATCAGGTCTCCTCGGCATCATCCGGTGGGTCAGCAAAAAGTAAACCAACGATAAATTTGCGCAGAAGATACCTAGTTTGAGCAGAAAGCAGCCATGGCCAACGCATTGAGTCAATGGGGTGGTTGTTCAGGTGCTATCAAAACAGTAATACACACGTGACGCTAGTAAGCCGTGTTGAACAAAACCTATCAGCAGCAGCATAGTTTACCACCCTTCTTGTACTTTCTCATTAGGGAAAGGAGCATATAAAGTCATGTTATAACACCACAACAAATGCCGTCGACTAGTACGACAGCAAGGGCTGGCGTGTACTCAAGCATAGCGGTGCCGTACACCGTAAATTCCGTAAATACATCGACCATTTGGCGCATAGGTCGGTGGTAGGTATTCCACACAGCACCGCAAGTACCTGATGCAAGAGCGCCATATTAGGATGCAATCAACGTCGGGTTAATGCCCGACATTGTAAGTCTAACAGGACGTTATTTAAAAACTCTCCGTGTGGTCTTTGCAATGCTTCATAATAATAATCTACGACATCAGGGTCAAGCGACTGCTTCATTTCCGCCCTCAGATTCCTTTTCATATCAGTGTGAAAATGTAGCTCCAAGCACCCTGCAACCATAGCCAAAATAATAACTCACCAGCAGTCATTTTTCGTATATCATTTATTCCCAGCCGTATCTACGTTCTTGGGCGCAGTAAAAAAAAACTCGGCACCAGCCATAAATCTGTAAAACGTCCAGAACGCGACACTTGAGTAGGTGTGCGCAACATTCGCTTAATTAAATAAACATGAATATAACAGCAACAGTGATATTTACAACAGCAAGTGGTCTAATCTGTCAGTCATTCAGTCAGTAGCCATATCTATAAAACACACTTTCTCCATCTATCTCGTAACGCTACGGCTATGGCTCCACCCACTGCAATACTTAATCCCACCGCACACTTTTCTTGTATGCCCAACTTAAAGTATCATTGCTGACATGGGCTTAGCAATGAATAGAAAAATTCAAAAAAATGAATGCCTGCCACCAGCGGTAGCATCAGTTGCGGCCCCATTGTAACGGGGCACCCTTTGTTTGGGGTGCCGCGAAACTTCACATACACTAGTACGTGCAGAGAGGGAGCTAATCTACTTGAACGACTCGTTCAAGTAAAGGTGAAAAGAGAATTGTTTTTAAATTAGTCAAGCTATCAATATAACTTCAGTCTTAATCGAACTTTAATAATCTGCATTGTCGTATGACGATAATCTGATCACTACTCATTGCGCGCGTCTAGCAGCGATTGGTGGCAATCTATGGTTGACATGTTTCTATCAACCAATCTTGGAGGAGCGCATGACCATTATCCTACAAGGGGATAAAATTCCTTCAATATTATCCATCCCGGATATTATTGGCACGGAATTGTCCTACCAGACAATCTCCCTATTGATACCGTTTGGTGTCATTTTTATGTAACGGGCCACCCCGTTACACCCATCGGCAAATTCGAAGCAGAGAGTACCGATTAGTCGGCATTCTCTAAGTCACGGTAATAACCGTGGAAGTACTGTGTACCGTCATCATTTGATGACTGAGTGATGTGCCAACTATCCATTTAGATCGATTACTAATATTCATATTAGTTCTATTTTCGTAGAATATAGGGTACCTAAAGTAGGATTTTACATAAAATAAAAAAGTTAAACAAATTCAGTTCTCATTTTGAGCAGAAGTCCGTAGACTTCCCCCCCTTTTGCACCTTGCGTTTGACAGTTCTTTAGAACTATCGTGGTTTAGCGAGTCCTTAGACTCCGGTATTACCCCTTTCACATATTAAGCGTGTAGCTCCGTAGAACTACAGTAGTCTGAGCTAATAGCTCATCGAGTCCGCGCTATGTTCCGTAGAACTAGCCGACTCTTTAACTTGATGTTTTTTGTTCCTTAGAACTAATCGACTGCTAGTCGTAATCCTCTGGCTTAGCCCATAAGGCTTCGTCTGACTTTAGAGCTGTAGTGGCTCCGCTACACTTGGTAGTACTTGTAGTCAATCATACACATGAGTCGTTTATGACTGATCCTCTGTAAAGAGATGGAGAGTCATGACTACCTCTCCGAGGCCCAACGTCTCGCGCTCGGTAATCTTTGAGCATTGATCGGGGCCGAGCAGGTTGACCAGATTGTGGCCCAAGGCCCAAAAATTGCTCAATGCACGCCTTGATGCATGCATGCAGTTTGAGGCCACCGCTGATCGAACAGGTCCATGACCATTTGTCCTCAGCGATACCCACACGGTACATTTTATTACCTGAGAGTGAGCCAAAGGCTCTTCGCTCGCTCCTAGCGTTAAAGGTTTCGACGGGAATCTCCTTCTCTGGATCCTAGAAGTCAATATGGCTTAATAAAATGCCGCGATGCTCCAAATTGAGCAACAGAATGTTGGTTTAGCCCTGTCGAAACTAGACGGTAGAGCCAGAGAGTGGGATCTGACTTGTGATGCGTCGGTAGACGCTGCGTTTCCCACATGGGATTCGCTTAAACAAGATATATCTCGGGTGTTCGCACCACCAAATCAAGCGTACCGCATACGCTCCCGATTTCTTGCCGCCATGCAGGAAAAAAAATTATCGTACTTTTTCCAGGAGTTGCGAACTCTCATAGCTGCCGTGCAGCTGGACCCTCGTCTAAAAAAAGTTCGTGTCACCATTTTCAAGGAAGAAGTTCGTACTGGGGTCGTGAGGACGGAAGTATTCCGCGTCCACCCCTCAACGTTTGAAGAGGCTGTAGACATGGCGCTAAACACGAAGTTCAACGTTGGAGCCGCTTGCTTTCGCATTCACGGGCGTGTTCAAAGATCGTTTGACGGTGTTGAGCACATGGAATTTAGCCCTGCTGAAGAAGAAGAAGTCGAGCTTCAAGATGTTGAGCATTAGCGTAACATCCATAGATGTTACACGTGCGGGATCGCCAAACATTTGCGTCTACAGTGTACGCTGCGAAAATCTCGTCAAAGTCGGCGGAGCCGCAATCCGTCTCCTAACTAGAAGATGGATACGGAGCGGATAAACGCCAACTCCCGGTAGGCGCGGGGCGCCCTACTGGGGAAGAACTAGGCTCTACCGAATCTCTAGATGGTAGCGGTAGACAGGATTAGCCCGACGGACTTGTGAAGGTCGCCACGAAGTTTGAGTACAAGCCAGGCTTGTTAGTTGCCTCGGCCAAGATTAAGGGCCTAGAAAAGCCGTAATCAATTTTGATTGATTCTGGGGGCGTCGGGCAACCTACGTTCGGCGCCGGTCCCTTAAGAGATGTCAGAAGTATGCTGAAGCTCTCAAAGCGCATGAGTGTGACGTTATTACTGTTCGTTTGGCGACAGGGACCCGTGTCACCGTACTTTAAGTTCTATTGAACACAGGCGCAAAGTATTTGGACTTCGATAGTATCGAACGTTGTCTTGTCCTTGGTTTGGACATAAGATATTATCTCATCCTTGGGATGGCTGACTGGAATGCCATGAACGATGGATTAATTGGAGGTCAAAGACCTTGGGAGCAACGCGCAATGTTCCTAGCGAAGATTCGGAGAGTCGTGAAACCACCTTTTCTACGAAACAAAAAGCGCTATTGGCGCGAGTCACTAATGGCCTAGAGCCGAGGCATCCTAGGTGTGATCCCTGTGATGCATGTGCATTTGCACGTACTCCACTTAGTGAGGTCGGCCGTGATGGCACCCCCGTTGAATGTTAGTAATGCCATCGTTGGCACTATGCCAAGGCATCCCGGGTTAGCCCTGAATGGTGCATGTGCAGTGGCACGTACTCAACTAAGTGATTTCGGCCATGATGGAACCCCAATGAATGTCGGTAATGACATTTTCATTGATACGATAAGGCATAAATAGCCATGCGCAATCGATGCGAATATCGCGGAAATAATTCACAGAGTGAAGTCGGCCGTGATGATACCACACTTAGTGTCGTTCATGATTCTGGCTGTCAGATAGAGCACGTTGAGGTTGTAGATGATCTTCACCTCGTGGAACCGAATATTTCCAACACGTTGAAGTGTTCAGTCTCAGTGCAGATACGGCAGCGACTTCAGATGGCTGCTGCAAAACGCAAGGCATCTGCCGTGTCCCAAGAGGACGCCAGGGAACAGTTGTACACATTCGTCAATCGGGTGACGGGCGATATTGATAAAGAATCTGGCTTCGAGGCCCTCTTATCACTTAACGCTCTGTTAGAGATAGATATAATGTCTATAGATGCAATTCATCAGACGTTGAGGGCCGGTGCTTTGTCTGATATGGTGGTTCTTAAACCTGACCTAAAGCTGAACTCGTCACTCCTTTTAGAGGAGACAGTCCTTGAGGACATTAAAGTTGCACTCAGTGCTCGCAATGGATAAGCTATCTTGAAGGATCCTTTTGATCCCTTCTACTCCATGGTTAAGGAATTTCAGGATGTGGTGTGTAATGATCCACCATCTACCCTACCTCCCAACAGAGTGTGCGTCATGAGATTGACCTGGTTCCTGGGACCAAGTATTATGTTACAAGGCAATGGCCGTTGCCTAAAGGACATTGTGACGTCATTGACGAGTTCTTTCGTGCAAAGCACGCGGCTGGCATGGGGCGTGAGAGCAAGTCTCCTCACTTCACACCGACATTTTGTGTCAAAAAGCCTAACGGTCAGTTGCGTATTGTGCATGCTTGCAATAAGCTTAACGCCGCCACCATAACGGCACAGACACCTATTCCTAGATAGTATATTCTCTAGAACGCTATGATAGGATGTACCATGTTCAGTGCACTCGACTTAACCGATGGGTATTACCAATTGTTCATGCAAACGAGTGATATTACGCCCACGGCGGTTAGCACGCCGAGTGGCACGCTTTGGGAGCGGCTCGTAATGCCATTAGGGCTATTTAACGTCCCGGATAGTTTTAACCGTCTGGTGACGAAATTATCCCGACCTCGCCGAGGATATGCACAAAGCTATTTCGATGACATCTTTTTCCATATCCGTGCAGAACATGGTGGGTCAGATGTGGAAAATCACATTGATCATTTACGAGCGGTGCTCGGGTGCATGCGTACCAATAACCTATATGCAAATGCATTAAAATGCATCTTTGGTGCTGAATAAATTCTCTTCCTAAGGTGCTTCATTGGGAAGCGCATCCTGTGGGAAAATCCTGCTAAGTTAAGGGCAGTTGTTGACTGGCTGGTTCCTTCAAACCAAATGGACTTGCAAAAATTGCTCAGTTTAGGCAATTACTTGCACAAGCATAGTGCAAATACGCTGACGTGGCAAGGTCATTAACCAACCTTCTCAAGATGGATGCATTTTGGTTTTAAGAGCATTCCATGCTTAAGGTATTAAAGCTATCAAGGACGGCCTCCTTTCATGCCTCAATTTTGTCTTTGCTTGACCCGGAGCGACCTTTCAGTGTCGTCTGTGACGCTTCCGATTTTGCCGTTGGTAGTGCCTTATTGCGGACAAATGTCGATGTACATGAGCGCGTCAGTGCTTGCGAGTCGCGCCAGCTGAAAGCTAGAGAAAGAACTATACAGTTTATGACAAGGAGCTACTTACGATGAAGTTCGCTCTTGTCAGATTTAAAGTACATCTGCTTGGCTCAAATCCTTTTGTGATCTATACAGATCATGCGTCGTTACGCACTGCGACACAGTCGCCTCGCCTTACACAACGAATGGCCTGTTGGCTTTCATTCTTTGCAAAAAATAACTTCGAGGTGAATTTTAAGCCGGGGAAGAAAAATGCAATGGATGATGTGTTGTTACGCAGACCCAATTATGAGCTTACTCATGTAACGACTCTGTCGTCGTCTATCCCTGATTTAATCCGTGCCAAGGATGAGCAGTGTGTCGCGCTATTGCGCGCACTAGGCTGTGATGATTTTAAGGACTCGGACTTCAAATTGTCGACACGATTACATGCGGGGCTACATCGATACGTCATCAATGGTGGGATTTTGTGCTATATCTAGGACGTGACGGATACTTCGCGCATCGTAGCTCCCCATGATACGTGACTGAAGCATCGTATCCTCTTTTATGCGCACAATATAGCTTTGAGCGGTTATCTCGGTCGAGAATAGACACATAGCTCAGTCAGCCAGACTTAATAGTGGCCCAAATTGTATAAATGCGTGAGCATATATGTGTGTACGTCTGCAACGCGTCAATGCGTTAGGCCTTGCGCTCATGCGGCTGCGCCTTTTGCGAGTTTACCTGTTCCTACTGAGTGTTGAAAGTCCATAAGTATGGACTTTGTGTGTGTCCTATCGAAAGATTCGGAGATCAACACTGGCGTTGTGGTCTTCGTTGACCGTTCGAGCGAGATAACTCATTAGCGACTGTGCCGGACTCTATTGGTGGTTAACTTACAGCACAGCTGTCTATTGGTCGGGTCTTTCGTCAACACGATTTGACCGTGGCAATTGTTTGGGACCGTGATCCTTGGTTTACCGGGTAATTTTGGAAGTCTATCTTTAAGGTGCTGTGCACCAGATTGAACATGTACACAGCGGGTTATCCGCAGGCATGTGGTCAAACCGAGCGTGTTGAACGCGTTGTTAAGGATATTTAACGCAGCTTGTGCGCTGAGACTCCTCAACTTTGGAGCTCCATGCTCCTGGTTATCAAATTTGCCATGAACAACTCTGTCCATGCCTCTACTAATATACGAGGTTCTATGTAAACAATCTACCCCCCCCCCCGCGTTCCGTCAACGCTACCGTCCCGTGAGTCAGGGCTCGTTGGGGGAGGGATCGCTAATAGGCTTGCTGGTGTCAGCCCTACCACTGTTCAAAAACATGTTAGCAAGTTCCTTGAAATAATGTTAAATGTATTACGATATGTGCGGGACGCAATGGCTGAAAGCCAAGATAAACAGAAAGAACAAGCAAATAGAAAAGTAAGGGGTTGTAATGAGAGTTACGAGGTCGGTGACCAAATTTTACTTAATGCTGAAAATCTACCTACGAATGTAGCTTCTGCTGTCTTTAAAACGAAGCTGCGTCCGCGCTTTGTCGGACATCTTTATGTTCGTGGCTAAGAAGGGCCTTGCGTATACGCTCAGCTCACCCCGTCTTTTATGTGGGCATGCTTAAGCTGTAACATGGCCCGTACCTTGTTGACTCGAGGCGCTGGCGCCGAGTGCATTGCCGTTGCCACATAATGTTGCATCCGTATCAAGAGATCAAGCTGTGCTTCAACACGATTCTGACGTGTTTTTATCGTCTGAAGACGGGCGTGACCGCCTTCAAGCGTCGCCAGATGCCGCTTCGATCAAAGCATGCTGGGTTTGATCCAAAGACTCACGGAGGCTACTCACATCTTTCTACAGATTCGAGTGGCTCTCAGCCGATACACCTACCGCCACCGGAGTTGCGTGATAGGCATATAAACCTCCAGATCCATGTGGAGAAATTACTCCGATGACGCCATCGTCATGATCACTACCAATACCTGGTGAAGTGGCGTTGGAATTTCGAGTCTGAAATCATGGGAGTATAAGATACCGCTTCGTCAAGACTGCCCGTACGCCGTGGACGATTTTGAGCGCCACGATCAGGCCCTTTTCTGACGAGCTCCACGCTTCTCACTAGCTTAGAGTGAGAGCGGGCGGTTTCATGCCAAAATATTGACGTGAACTCTCGGCTGCAGGAGCAGCCGAAGCATAGCGGGAATAAGATATCCCCCTCAGTCGGCCTCTGGCCTTTAACTTCTCGAAGTCGTAGTGATGTTTTCGCTCTAGAAGAACGTCTGACATACTAGCATTTGCTCCTAGAGCTTTCATACTATTTATGAGTCGAACGCCATGTACTCAGCGTATGAAAGCATCATCCTCTGAGACGTCCGTCCTCACCCTCAGATATTATTACGTTTATACACTTTACAGGTG